TCTCTCTCTCTCTCTCTCTCTCTCTCTCTCTCTCTCTCTCCATCCCTCAGACGAGAGTGTGTCCATCCTACCATCCAACCAGACCCTCGTGGCTTTGAACCAGGAGCCTGCGTTCACGGTGCGGGCGTTCTTCCTGTTTCTGGGCGGTCTAGGGTTCGTATCCCTGTGTGCTCTGGTGACCCTCATCCATCACCCGTATTGTCGCAGTGAGCGTGTCAACACAGAGGAGGAGGACAACTGTAAGCTGATGAGCAAGTCGACACGGTGAGTACACACTGACAGACACAAATAGATACACAGATAGACACACACAAACACACACACACAGACACACACCCGTACTGTCGCAGTGAGCGAGTGAATACAGAGGAGGAGGACAACTGTAAGCTGATGGGCAAGTCTACGCGGTGAGTACACACTGACAGACACAAACAGATACACAGATAGACACACAAAAAACACACACTCACATACACACACACAAACACCCGTACTGTCGCAGTGAGCGAGTGAATATAGAGGAAGAGGATAACTGTAAGCTGATGAGCAAGTCTACACGGTGAGTACACACTGACACTGGCAGACACAGACACACACACACACACAGACACACACACAGACACACACACACACACACACACACACACAGATAGACAGAGAGACACACATACGCACACACACAGACACACACAGAAACACACACACGCACACAAACACCCGTACTGTCGCAGTGAGCGGGTCAACACAGAGGAGGAGGACAACTGTAAGCTGATGGGCAAGTCTATACGGTGAGTACACACTGACAGACACACGCACACACACTCACGCACACACAAACACCCATACTGTCGCTGTGAGCGAGTGAATACAGAGGAGGAGGATAACTGTAAGCTGATGAGCAAGTCTATACGGTGAGTACACACACACACACACACACACACACACACACACACACACACGTTCACACACACACACACACACTCTCACAACCGTACTGTCGAAGTGAGCGAGTGAATACAGAGGAGGAGGATAACTGTAAGCTGATGGGCAAGTCTACACGGTGAGTACACACTGACATACACACACTGACACACACACTGACACACAAAAACACACATAGACACACACACACACATGCACATAGTTTACATGAAGAGTGAACCCTCTCTCCGTATCTCTTTCTCTTTCTCTGTGTGTCTCTCTCTCTCTCCCATTTTCTCTCTCTCTTTCTCCCGTTTTTTCTCTCTCCTGTTTTCTCCCTCCCTCCTTCTCTCTCTATTTCTCTCTTTTGTATTCTCTCTTTTATTCTCTCTTTTTCTATCTCTCCTTCTCTCTCTTATTCTTTTCTCTATTGCTGTCTCTCTTTTTCCTCCCTTATTCTTTCTCTGATATTCTTTCTCTTTCTCTATCTCTTTCAGTCTCTTTTATTCCCCTCTTTCTTTCTCTCTCTTATTCTCTCTTTCCCTCTCTCTTAATCTGTCAGTCTCCGTCTCTCAATATGTCAACCTCTCTCTCTCTCTC